TAAAATAAAATTATTATTAATTACCAACTTACAACCCTGATCAGGGTGCATACACACCATTAGGTTCTAATACAAAAAATAAAACAAAAGCAATATAATAACCTAAATTACTTATACTCTTACTGCTTCAGCTCCTGCCAGTAATGTGACTGCTTGCAGCCCTTCAGAACTCCTTTGTGATTCCTGCCCTCAGTCCCTAGTGCCTGCTGCTGCTTCACTGCGACCCCTGGTCCCCTGTTCCTGTCATGTCTAATTCATGTTTCTGCTGCGGCCTCTGCGCTGCTATTCCATTCTAAGCTTGCTCCTTCCCTTACCCACTGTAGTCCACCTTATTAGTTCTTGAACTGCAGTCCCCTTGCGGCTGTCTGTGCGCTACTGATTGATTCCACCTTTGCTTCTTTCTCTTTCTCACTCTGTTCCATTAGTTTTCAAGCAAACAGGCCTTCCCAACTATGAAGTAGATTGTTGAAATCATAGTGTTCCTTCAACTTGGTGCAATTTGTTTCTATGTTGAGCCATGCCCACGTGTACCCTTTCACTTGCTTAACAACCTTGTCCACCTGAAACAACCCTTCGTTGAACACCGTGTTGTTTCTCACAGTCCAGATGGCCGCCCATAAGATAGCATAGGATAGTATTCCACACTTTACCTGGCAGCCCTCCCTTGCTTAATCTTGGCCATTGCCTTGGTAGGTGTTGTGGGGACTGGCTGTTATTTCTGCAGGTCACCGCCTGTCTTTGAAAGCTGTAAGATTCTTCCATACCTCCTTTGCTCCTTCACAATGGATAAACAAGTGCCCAATTGATTCTTCTTGGTGTTTGCATATCATGCATCTATTTGGGATTGAGATTGGCTCGACTTTTGAGCATTACCATAACAAATTTATTGAGGAAGCAGTGCAGTGCTTTTGACGAAATTCTTCCACAGATGTTCAGGATCAGTTTTGATCAGTCTCAGCAGTGACACCAATGTTTCAAGTGAAGAATAGTGCTCTGCGCCTCAGCAAATGGGCACCGGTATACTCCAATCCATATGATCTTATATAGGAGTTATTTTCTCCTTGAGCTCACAGAATGGTGTCTCCAACAATAATGGAAATAACCTCTGACAACGCTTTGCCCAATCTTCAACTTCGTGTTACAAAATAAACTTCTTTCTCATTGCAAAGATATGTAAGCTCGTGTTTTGGTCCACCCAGACCTTTGGCCATTTGAAGATCATCGAATAAACATTCCTTACCAATACAAGCTCTAAGGGAAAAAGAGGCTGCTTTAGGAGTTGTATAGAAGGGGACATTTAATGCAACTTTTTTTAAGCAATCATTGTCCTCGTGCTTGTCAAAAGTCAGAAAAACATATTGAGTAAACTCCTCAACTGTCAATTTCAACCACAACCTATCTTCAGAACACACGTTGTGCAACCAAATCTCAAATGGGATAGCTGCAGGGAATCCTGCAATGAAAGGAAGAGGGTTCTCTGAGTCATTATCCGGGACACTCAGATCTGCCTTGATGTGTTTGAGTTTCTCACCAAGCACAAACTGTTGAAGGGAGAAAAGCTCAACTAATCTCTTCGAAGAAAATGCATAGTAAAGACCATCATCGTCTGAAGACTCTTCTTGACAGAATGAATTCAATTCTCTAGCAAAATCAGAGGGCTTGATAGAACCCTTTTGACATAGATGCTCTACACAAGAAAGTGTAGAACGCAATCTCTTCAAAATAGTCGGTCGATAACATATATCAGGCTTCGATAACCTCAGGACACAAATGAGAAGTATAAACTCCAAGATATGCAACTCTTCTTCTACACTAAACCCCCAAAACCCATACCTCATTCTTCTTAGATTCATATCTAGCTTTTCTACTAAAAGATCTAACAAGCCAGTTCTGCTACCAATAAATTTTCTTGGTGGGTAGAAGTGCATCCAAACTTTTCCTAGCAATTTCATTGACCGCACATATTGATATGCAAAAGCTAGCAAACCAGCATCAGATTCATCTGAATCTACAGAAAGTGTGGCCAGCTCCTCCTTGCAATCCCTATATCCCAGGAGGAAAAAAGAAATCAAGAAAGTAACAGCTAAAAATGGAAAGAGCTTAGCTTACAATTATGATATAAGTGCAAAGGACTAGGAGCTACTTAGACATATCAAGGTCAAGAATCGAAAGAAGAAAAAACCATAAACATGTCATTGTCAATCAATGAACAATGCTTAATTGCATTAGACCAACATTAGACGGTTACAATCAAATTGGCCTTATTAAGTAAGGAAGCTGTCCTGGGTGATTTTATCATGCATTGGGTTGTGTGTGAAATTATTGTGATGTATGTTCTCTCATGCAGGCATGTACATACTTGGCATCTCTTTTCATATTGCAAGGTACAACTACTTTCCTTAAGACTTTCTTTTCCAAGATAATATAATGCCAACCTTCCATATAATTCAACATTTCAACCTTTCTTCCTTGTCTATTAAACTTTTCTTTCACAGAAAAAAAAAAAACAGTTTTAGATTAATCTGAGAACTTACACATGAATGCGAACTCATGCAAAAAGGTAGCTGTAAGTAATTTTATATGAACTTAGAAAGAAGAAAAAAGAAAGAAAGGGGGTGGGTGGGAGGAAGGATCAATATTGAGATTAATACCTCAGTGCCCTGCATACTTCATCCGTGCACCCTGACTTTATCAAAGGCCACGTATCTGCAACTATTTTGAGAACAGGACCTATAGCATGTGTTGCCTCCTTCTGCTGATATTCTTGAGAGGAAAATGTATGACTTGGGTCCCAAGAATTATCCTGACAATTAATTTCAGAGGTTCCATAACTGACTTGGTGCAAGGGAGTTACATGCTTAATTATTTCTTTGCTGTAGGGATTTGAAGCATCTTCTACCACAGAAAAACAGTGTTCCTCCTGTCCAAATATTTCTGCAATGGGTGAATGCAGAAATCTACTGCAATAAGATAGATAAGCAAAGAGTGTGTCTTGGCTCATAACATCCCTCAAAGAATAGGATATCCTCCCCAGGAAGGGAATAGCATAGGTTAATACTCTCCTCAGAATGCTGCTGATATGTTGTTCGTGTGTAAGTGATGCTGCGATGGCTAACACCAATATTGCAGCTACTCTAGCTTTATCAATGCGCAGTTCTCCTTCACAAGATGGCTCAATCTGAAAGAAAATGAAGTGGGAGCAATAATCAGGGACATACACTTCTCAACTATAAACAGATCTTGAAATCAAATAAGATAAAATCACAAGACACATAGCCAGCCAATGCAAGAGATATTCCAATATGGGGGAGATTTAAAACAAGAGAACGGGGGTTTATGCATCATTTTGAAGTGT